TTCGATCGCAGCAGTACTCCCGGGTGGAACAATCAGGCTTAAATTATCATCCAAAAAGAAGCCCGTTTATTTGGGAGCTGTTTTCAACAGTCATGAATTTCTAGCAGATTTAGGAAGGATTGCTGGTGAAGCAGGCGATCGTGTGAACACAAATGCAGCGTCCTTTGTCAATTTTTGACTAGTTGTCTTTGTTCTGTAAAATGGTTTTTTTTTCCTACATGTTCTCACGATCTACGCAATACGAAAGCGCGTTTTTTGGATTTTGAGGGCGGCATAAAAACAGTTTTCGTTTTGCTACACAGCGTGATGCAAAATACTTAGAGAAAGGCAAGAAATTGGCAAAGCAAATTATTAATAGGTACCTACGCGGTATCAAATGGGCGTAAGGAAGCCTGGCAATGCGTCGAAAAATCCATCTCAACGACTCTACGGAACTGTGCGGATGAAAAAGCCAAAAATAAGAATCGAGAAGCTGGCGAGAACGAATGCGACGATAAATCGGCAGCTGAACGAAGTATCAAAATTTACCCTACAAATGGAAGCAAATAATCTGAAATACGAGCCCAAGCTTCTCGAACTCTAAACAGTAACTCAAGGTTCAGATTCCGGTCTCAACATTTCAGTTAGCTAATTGTAATTGTGGAAGTTCATCAAAGCGAGTTAAGTGACTTGGAACTAGTTTCCGAACCTTACTCGTTCTTTGATCAGTGACTACACACTCAACACAGCTGTCTTTTTCACACCAAACACCACAACTATGAGACTTCAGCACCTTGCCAATAGATCAATCAAATTGGCGCATTCATGGACTTTGGTGTGCACCGGTCCACTGGCTAATCATGAATCGGCAACAACATTAAGAAAACAAATAATTAGCCAGTGCACTGATTGCCGATGCGAAGGTGCATTTTTTGCATAGCACTCCACAGGCTTTTGTCGCTAACGGCAACGATGTTTCCTGCAGATGCTTCTAGCTAAACGAATTGAGACTGGCGCCAGGTCTGCCAGGAAACACCCCCCTCAAAATTCGAGTTTCCTAGCTTTGCTGTTCCCGGAGTTAGCGACTTACCCGCAAAAAACTCTCATGGGCCCGCCTGTGGGAACCACGCATACCCGGGGTCTAGGTCTGAGTTTCATTAGGACGGGAAATATACCCTTAAATTCACAGTCTTCTAGCTTTCCTGGTTCCCAAGTTAGCAACTTACCCGTCAAAAACTTTGGCGAGTCCATACATGAGTACCACACGGGTAAGAGCGACCATTTTGGGGATAGGGGCCCGCACATGCGTGCAGATTAATTCCCCAAAGTTTCAACTCTGTAGCTTTTGTAGGTCTTGAAATGAAAAATCGGTAGAGACGAACACACAGACACACACAAACAGACAGACAACCCTTCGTCAATATGCGTTTTCTGCATTGCATAGATGCAAACTTAGTCGAAAGCGTACCGGCTGCCGGTACGAGGATGCGTTTTTTGCACAGTTCTCCCACAGGTTTTTTTCGCCAGTGGCACGTTCTTCCCGGCAGATACTTCTAGCCAAAGGAACTGGGACTGGCCACCACTACTATTAGAAATTATTACATGACTCCCAATCCATGCCCAAAAAACCCAGCGCTGTGGATCCTTCGGTTGCGGAGCTACGCCAAGTTCAACGTTTTCGTACGTGAGTGGCAACGTGAGTGTTTTCCTTGCTCGTGGTTGGTCAAACACGATCCTGGATAACGCTCAGAAAGTTTCAGCACTCCGGCTGCTCTG